TCGAAGACCTAGCAAATCTTAGTTTCTTTTCTTCTTTAGTTTTCTTTATATTTTTTTTGTTTTGTGTTGATGATTAAACTTTTTTATATGATGTTTCTAATAATTATGAGAAACTAAATTTCTTATCGAGAATTGCAATTGAATCCAATACGTAGTTTGAATTTTTAATTTTTTTTTGTTTGCTTATGATTGATGGTGTTTGAATTGTCTATTTTAAGCGTCTGATTGCCTGATCACCAATTAGATAGATAGAGTTATCTAAACGAAACTAGAAGAGAGAATTAGTGTAAGCCTTGAATGAAATTGCATATGTTCAATATCAATTACATGAGATGATTGATTTGATTCACGTGTAGGTTAAGAATACATTTACATGTTATTGTAACCAATTTAGAGTCTAAGCTTAATGTATCTTTCTTAATTGTAATTTGCATAGGAATATAATCGAATAGTTAAGAGAGATATTTTTATAAGAACATTGAAAGAGACTTATAAATACATTAAAACTGTAACCTAACAAGTCAGATATTTAGTAAGCAAAGAGAAAGTAGAAGAGATTCAAATGAAGTGTTGAAAAGATATTGTAGTTTTAGGCTTTTGTTTAATTGAGTTTATCTAATTAAGTTGCGATTCTTGTTATTAGTTTTAATTGTTTTAGTTTTCAGTAGTTTTTTATAAAAAAAAAAAGCTAATTGTTTGAATAAGATATAATTGTTTTAATTTTAGTACTTAACAAAATTTTAGTGCAATATCTCATAAAAACGATACTATACTTTTCATTATATTACTTGTTAACGATACATACATTTACATGGTAAATTCGACATCTACCATTAATTGTCCCCAATTAATGTCTCGTTTGAAAATTTGAAAAAAAAAAATCATTCCTATTTTTCTTATTATCCTTAATTATAACATACCAATTTCTTCTTTTTGCTTATTTTCATAAGTAATTTCTAAATAAAAATTCATAATCAATGTAAGTGAACATTCTTCAAATATATGTCTAACTATAACAAGATAAAGCATTCTTCAAGCCCTCTAATAAAAAAAAATTAAAAAAAAAAGAAGAGAATAAAAAGAACAAAGTTCAAGAGAAAACTAACTACTGAGAGTTTAAAATTGAAGGCCATGCTCCCTAGCAGAATCAGCAAGGGCTTCTATGCGTCCATGATATGGATATCCACCTCTGTCAAAGGCCACCTTTGTGATCCCTCGTTCCAAACAGGATTTTGCAATGCATTCACCAATCTTCCTTGCCACTTCCTGATGCCAGAAGATCGGAAAAATTGAACACTTTTATCAAAAATGAGGCCAAAAAAGAATAACAGAGAGGAAGCAGAACAAGTTATGAACGAGGCACCAAGACCTAAGCAGAACTGGGAGATGGAAACGGGCAACCAACAGGTCAAGGTCCACACAGAAACAGAATGAAGGCTCTGGCAAAAGTAAATTCAACCATGGACACAGATGACAACAAGAGGAAAATCAAAAGCCAACAAACAGCACAGGTTGTCTACAAATCTCAACTATGGACACCAAGAACAAGAAAAGGAAAATCGAAAAACCAACTACTAGCACATGTTGCCTACAAATTTCATATTTATATGATCAGGTGGAAAAGGACGCACCCACACACACATACAGGCTTACACAACCAAGTGAGATTCACAAGTCGCTGGAGAGGTAATTTTAGGAGAAAACGAAAAATTAAGCCTAATTCACAACAACTCCCAAAAGGACAAAATGTTTAGAGAGAGTTGCAAGGCTTGAATACTACATCCCTTTTCCATTCCTCTTCCATGTAGGACACTACTAACCAAGACATCACCTTTGTATTTCTTTCAACCAAGAGGAAATATGGAAAAACACACCCATAAAACCTGTATAACAGCTCCAAAAAGCAATTGGATACTTCAATTAAAATAAAGAACGAGGCCAATCAAAACCACTTTAGTTATCATTCAGAATCAGACCAATGAACTAAAGTCAAGTAGTAAAAATTGTATTTGATTCAGCTGACTGTTAATTTGTATTTACAACTCACAATGGTGGGACCAGATGAGTAGTCGAACTCCTCACGAATTGGTTTCTGCATTGTTGAAGCAGAAGCAATTGTGCTCATCTTTGAGTCATCAATGACTTGGACATAGAGATGCTTGTTGGAGCAGAAGACAGACAACCGCGGTCTATCCGGTGTCCCTTCAACCTGCAAGAGTAAGAAACACTTATGGCAAAATAAGTAACACTAAAATGAGGGTAGAATCCAGTGGAATTCAATATGAGACAACAATATCATGTCCATTTGAGGAAATCAACCATTAAATAACAATAGAATCAGATGATGCCCTTATCTACCCACCCATCACCGCTGTTATCACTTTTAATACATGAAAGATTACTCATCCCCAATATTTCTTCACATATGAAGAAGAGAATAGCAGGAGTTTTTTTTTTTATTTTTCATTTTTGGTGGGGGAGAGGCGGGTACATAGAATAGAATGGCTCTGACAAAGTTTCAGCACAGCTTAACATCACAAGGTTCCTTAGATTTTCTATCTATTATTGTTTGGACAGAAATTCTCTAAACCAATTTGGTCCTAAAAGCATGTAGCAAAAAGAAAATCCTTAATAAATCAGTAAATTTGAAAAGATATTCACTACTAGATAAGAAATGGGGATGAAGGTGAAAAGGCATTTGCATTTTCTTAATAAGAGCACAACAAAAATGATGCCTAAATTGGAATTATAAAGACATAATAAAACTGGGTGGGAAACAAACAAAGAAAATTGGGTTTATGATGGCCACGAGACTTGACATTTATAGATAAAGTAACCTTCTTCCTAATGCGAGAATGTCGGGCCTGACGGTCTTCTCTTCTTGTGCGAGCTTTGGCTTGAACATTGAGGAGGAGAGAGGGTAAGGACGGGCGTGGGCATGGCAGCCTCGGGCTCAGGGGAACTCCCAAAAATGAACTGTGATTACGATCGACAGCACCAAGAAACTGTAATCTCGTAGTCATAGTCATAGTCGGAGTCGTACTTGCCATACCCATTCCGGATTGCCGGATTCCTGTTTGTGTGCTTTTCAGCTTTAAACAAAAATCAGCAGATTATATTTCCGAAAGATGAACGCAACGGAAACAAGCAATCCCAATTATGGTTATTCATTCTAAAACCAGCAAGCGTTAGCGTACAATTACAGTACCTGCTGTGCTCTCCAAGGTTTTTGAGTTGCGCTGTGGAAGAAAAGAGAAGCAACTGCTCAGAGGACTGGGGATAGAAGGATAAGAGCACTGGAACTTTGTCCTCTTTTCGTCCGCTATCAGCCCAGCGCTGCTTCGTGCTGCGGACCCCACGACCGGTTTTATAAATGTCAAAAAAAAAAAAAAAACACTTGTTCTTGGTAAGTTTGAAATTCTTTTTCTGAAAAACTTTTTCAATCTTTGCTTCTGTTTGAAAGAAAAGAAATATCTTACCAATGTAAAATGGTCAATCAAAAAATTTATATTGAGCAGGGTAAAATATCTAACACCCAAAATTATCATAGAACATTTTTCATCTGTAATAAAGCAATAAAGTATCACCATTTTCTCCTTTTTTTTTCATTTCTATATTTATTAGTCTTTTTCCAACAAAGCATTAGTAATTATTTTCACTAAATTATTTTAATAAGAAAGGGTATACGCTGATGTCATTTCATAATATATTTTTTACATAATGCTCAAAAAGTTTCTAAATTATTTTTAAAAAATTCAAATACGATGTTATTTTTTTATTAAGTTTAATTAAGATATTTTTATTTTGGATCAAATAAAACCTTATAATTAATGGTTGACTAATTATTGTTAGTTAAAATATCATTTGTTATTTTATATCCACATGATTTTAATGTGAAAAGTGAAAAATGTTACATGATTAAGTTATCATATCATATTAATACGCCACATCATCATCAGTAATGATATATTAACATACCACGTTAATAAAACGTGATATAAAATGATAAATAATATTTTAATTAAGTCAATAATTAGTCATAAAGACTTATTTGCTTGAAAAAAATATAAAGATTTATTTGACCGAAAATAAAAGTATAAGTGCTTAATTGAACATAATAAAAGTATAATGGTTTATTTAAATTTTTTTTTGAATAATTTAGAGTTTTTAGACATTATGCCCCTTTTTTTGTTGGATTGCATAAATAGATCAATAAAACAAAAGATAGCAAAGTTTCATATTACAAACTAAAATTGAATTCAACAACAATATTTCATATTATAAGCAAAAATTACATTCAACTATAGTGCTTCAACAATACTCTCATATAATATAAAACATAAAATTGATAAAAGTACTAAGGAAGTCCCTATACTATAGAGTTTTATTCAATTTAATCTTTGTATTATAGAATTTTAATTAACCTAGTCATCGTACTCTAGTATTTGGTGTAATTTGGTTGTTATGACATGACACATAAAAACTGATGTGGCAAAATTTTTTTGGGATTATAAGCATAAAATGTTAATGTTTGCTATCTATCTTCCTCTCTTTTTGGGATTGGCCCTACAAACCTTAGATCAAACCCATTCAAAAAATATTACCTTCCTTCCTTTAGTGGAATTGATCCCACGAAGCAATAAAACAATAAAACATCATTATTCTCTTTTTCTATCTATTTATTTATTATTTTTCCCAACAAGATTTCATTAATTATTTTTATTCAATTATTTTATAAGGATCATATCATATAATTATTTTTACTAAGATACTATAATCTTTAATATAATACAAAATAATTTAGGTCAATTGAAGAAAAATTTTATATAAAATAGGAAATAAATTTTTCGCACATGAAAATCTTTCATTTCTTTTAATTTCCAATTTATGATTTATTCACTTGATAAACTAACCAGTATAAGAATATCATGAGAAAAAAACAAATAACAAAGGTTAAATAGTATTTATAAATATACTACTTCTATGGGTAAAATATACTTATCTCTTTAGGTTTTGACCATAATTTACTTTGAGTCCATTAAAATTGAAAATGGATACTCCACCTTAAAACCTCAAACGTCATTGACAATTTTGTAACCAAATGAGTATTTAGAAATCAAATTTTCAAGATTGATTGGCACTTAATTTTTGTAAACAATATGATGTTGACAAACACAAAATTAACGTTAGAAAAAATAGCTTTGCACAAATAATTTTATAGAGGTTATCTTCCTCTCCCTTAGCTTACTAAGGAGTTTGTAAATCCACTATATAAAATGTTATTTCAAAGTTCAAGCACAACCTTTACTAAACCTTTTCAAGGCTAAGGTTTAATCTTTTTATCTTTTTAATAGTTAGGTCAAAATACTCATCAAGTCCCTGTATCTATACAAATTGTTCAATTTAGTTTATGTACTTAAAATTGAAATAATTTAGTCCATTGATTTTGAGAATTACTCCAATTTAATCTCTCTCCTTAATGACATCCAATTTGACTGTTAAAAATGACAATGTCAACACTAATGTAGCACACAATGCTAACATAGTAAGCAAGGGTGGCTCAGATTACTAGTGTGGTAGTGCCATGTTAGCATCTATTTTTTTCCTTTTAACCAAAAATTTGTGCAATTGCTAAAGTTCGAACCCAAGACCTTAAGCACACCAAAGATTTTACCACCACACTTAAGTTTTTACTTTTAATTACTTCTTGCTTTTCTTTTCTTTCTTCTATTTTTTTTTTACTTTCTTTTCCCAAAACTATGTCGTTTTAGTGCTTTCTTAAACTCTAAAAAACCCTATCTATAAAAGCATCTTTTTCTCATTTTTCTTTTTCCTAGAGAGAAAAAATGAAGAGGTAAAGAGAGAGGAAAGGGAAAAAATGAGAAAAATGCTTTTATAGCTAGGGTTTTTGAGAGTTTAAGAAAATACCAAAACGACGTAGTTTTAACGAAAGAAAATGAAAAAAATAAGAAAGAAGAAAAGAAACAAAAACAAAAAGTAATTTAAAGGAAAGGCTTAGGTGTGGTTGTCACGACCCAAACCAAGGAGTCGTGACCAATGCACGAGCTCAGTAGGCAAGGCCACGAGACTCAAGCAAGACTCAAAGATTCAAACCAATTCAAATGCATACCATTAGCCAAAGGTTTCTACATCAAATATATTCATAATATAACATAAATTTAAGTACATGTAAGCTATCCTTTAACACATAGTTCATACATGTTACTAAACATATACATAAGCCATACATTGGCTAACAAAACAGGGTTTGTCTCATATAACCCTTAACATAGTAACATCAAATGCCAACACAGTGCGAAAACTAAATCAAAAGTAGAAATACCTAAGCTAGACTTAATAGAGTGAACATATCAAACGAAGAATGCCTATCGGATGCCAAAATTGGTCAGTCAAAGGATGACACTAGCCACGCAAGTCCTGTGGCTTATTTATTTGCACATGGTACAAACAAATGGGTGAGTCATCTAGTACTTAGTAAAGGTTGCAAATGAATCAAATATATGAGTGCCAATAAACATATACATATATATATTGCATTATCAATGCAACAAAGTATTCTAACAAACACCTCCAACATTAGGGACATATCATTAATCCTTTAAATATTCTATAAATCTCATAAATCACACATATGTCACTACATCTCCAAAAATAGTGCATATCGTATTAAACTTACCCTTGAAGCCATAACAAAGTTAATCTCCATAAGCACACCCTAGTTGCCAAAGCATCAAATCAAATTCAAATTTATCTTTATCTATCCATGGCTATGTCATATCACTTATATTTCAAATCACAATCATAGAGTTGTCTTCCCTAAACATAATCAAATCACGTTCGATAGCCAACCAACAAAGTCAATCACTCAAGGCTAAAGTCGCTGATGGAGAATCAAATCACGCACGGTGCCAAAACAACCAATGGAGAGTCAGAACATGCTTGAAGTTGAAACATCTAATGGAGAATAAATCACGCTCAGCACTGAGGCAATTGGTGGAGAATTAAAGTCATCATCCGAAGATCCTCAACAAATTGCATTAAAGCATTGCAGGCGGGAATCACATGCAGGAATTATACCACAATCCTTGCTTACCACTACCTCTAGAGGAAGAAAACATAATTATAAGGAATAGGACTCCACTCAACCTTAAATCAAATCAACGTCCAGAATTCTCAATCATCGAATGAAGTACAAATCCACAAATGACGCCATCATGCCTTACATATCATATTCTCCATATTTCATAGATCACTATTATGGGCTTCAAGCATTATTTAGCTTACCATTGCCTTTAAGTGCCTTTAGTTCTGATAACTCTATTATATAGAGTTATTTTGACTCATTTTGGGAGCTTAAGTAGCTAGATCTTTGAGATTTTAGGTTCGGATTTTAGCATTTCAGGTATTTTTCTAGTTTAAGTTTGATTACTTGTTAAGTGATTAATTTAAGTTATTTTAGTTAAATTTTAGGTTGTTTTATTTTAAATTACTTTAAGAGTAGTTATTGCTAATTTTTCTTATGGCTTTTGTAGGAAATTGATGAAAAAGGCTCATTTGATGAAAATCAGTGCAACTATGGTGATGGCTTCATTCGTATATATTTCGGTATTTTGATCATATCTCTTTCTAAAAAACTCCAAATGAGGTTATTCTTGGACCAATAGAATTATAAAAAGAAGGGATACAATGTTTATGTTCACTAATTTTGCTAGTTCTAATAGGATCATGGTCAAAATATTTGTCAAAATCGGACCACTACAGTAGTATGTAAGGACTGAACATGATGCGGTATTTAGAGCAAATATTTCAATCCAGAAGTCCAATTGATGTGATTCTTAATCCATTGGAA